TTCGGCGGCAACCGATGGCCAAAAACCCTGAAACTGGAGAAAAATGACTAGAAGGAAATTCTAAGAGTACACAACTCAACGAAATGTGAAAATGAATCCTATACGAGAATCCAGGCTCAAAATGAGGCATTTTTGTAATAACTTTCATTAATTGCACAATGGCCCCTTCAAAAAGTGAAAACTGTATTAATGACCCAAAATGAAAATATCTTCCAAAAATATTATCTTAAAAACCCCTAAAATAAAATATCTTCAAAAGATATTTATGAAAAACGCCCCAAGAAAAGAAAAAGATTTTGAAAAATTATGCATCCATACCCCTATGGATACTGGGAGCAACCAGAGTACTTTACTACAAAAGTAAATATACGTATTTCGTGGAAATCACTTAGAAAGAAGATACGTGAAGTCAAAAACTAACTTCGAGCATGGAAAGTGAGGTTGTGCCAAAAAGTGACAAATGGGGAAAAGACAAAATAGGAAAAAGGACGAAAGCGAATAGTGTCCAAAAGTGAAAATGTGGAAATGACTAGATCCTTAAAGGAAGTTGTCAATCCAAGGGAAAGAATCTCGGAAACCATTTCTGAGCACTCGAGATGACACTAAGCATCAAGAAACAGAACTTGGAAAAGAAAATTAAACGAAAAAAAATTATCCGTAAAATTTGAGAAAAAGGAAAGGGAGGAAAATGATCGGGTCATTACATTTGTATTAAGTCCCATATTTTTTTTTGTAAAACCTTAGTTTGTTATATTCGGTATAGAGGTTTGTGAACTTTTATTATTGTAATTATATTTATGGGCTGTAACTTTAGTATAAGTTGTCTAAACGTTGTAAGATATGGACTTTAGATCTTAACCATATATTTTTGGGATTGTAATTGTGATATTTGGATTAGATGGCGTGTAGTTGTTCCATCATGAGCTGAACTATGTTGAAGCATAATGAATAGATGAAAGGAATGCTGAAATGTATTATTTGCATTGTGTGTTGGGACTTAGATATATTTTTAAGGTCCAAGAGAAGCCATTGCATTTTTATGCATCTAAGCAGTTTATTGTACGACCTTTTTAGCAGAGGTCACGCCGAATTTTTTATTTTTTTATATATAATTAGTATCATTTTAGGGTCGTTACATCTACATCAAATTCAGATCTCGAAGAAAAGGGGTGAAGCGATCACACTTTGGAAGGGTTAAAGCATTCGAGGAGTGTTGTTTGATTTACCAGCAATCCTTTTACAGAGATCAATAATAAGCCTGAGTCAAGAGTTGTTGGACGGAATGTCGCAAAACTAGAGAATTGTTAGTAATTGGTTTTTGGTAGAACGATAGAGTGTGAGCTTGAGTCAAAGTCCATTGTATTTTGTTTCAAATAGAGTGGATCGTTTTGCTCTGGATTGAATAGTCTTCGAGGTCTACCAATTGGGTATCCTCGCTAAAAATACTTTACTTACTTTTATGTTACATGTGATTAATTGATTAATTGCTAATTTAAGTAAAGCTAATTAAAATAGAAAGATAGGTGATTTAATCAATCTTGATAAAAACTTAAACTTTTCACAGTATCTTCTGCTTCCAGGACTCACATATATCTATGTATATATTATCTCGTTTGAATTCATAAAAAGCCCCAACAGTAAAATCTTCGTAGTATATCTTGTGTCATCTTTGTGCTGAAGCAAATCTTGAACGTTTTGCTTTTAACTGCCTCAACAATGCTACCTCTGTAAGAACAGAACATACACGTACAATAGATATGCATATAGAGACTAAGTGGAATACATTTTTGTATAATCGTTCGACAATTTATCAAGATTAAATAGAGATAGAACTTGAGAGTTATAACTCTTCAATAATAATAAAAGTGCATATAAAACTAAATAAATAAAGAATGGGAAAATGAAGACTTGTAACTCTTAAAATAAATAAAAGTGAATATACAAACAAAGAAATAAATGAATAAAAAATTAAGAAAAATGTTTACAAATACGAAAAATGCCTCACTTTTATAATAATATATAGATTATTTTTGAAATACTGTGGATTAGGGCTCTAGAATATTTGGAAATGATGGATTGCTTTTAAAATACTGGGACCGATTTTTAATTTTTTTTTTTTTCCTGAGAATATTATAGATTAGAGGTATGAATCAATACGTGATAGGTGACTTAATGAGACTTTTATGAATAAAAAATGTCAAAAAATAAAGAAAATTATTAAGTACTTTGATGAGGTATGAATTATTATATGCTTTAACGATATATTATTTGAAAAATAAATAAAAAATGTTAGAAATTTCTTTACACTTTCAGAATAGCTAGTATAGATATAGATAGAGATAGATAGTTATAGAAATAGATATAGATAAAGATAAAGATAAAGATAAAGATTTGGGTTGGGGTTATTGAGATTTGGATCATGGTTGAATACATACGGATAATGTGTTTTTAAAACTAATGCACCTAGTTGGGCGATGGGCTAAAGAATAAATTTGAGTGTTGTAATTCAAAAGGTCTATGTATAGAATTTAAATGGGTCAGTATTTTCAAGTTAAAATGAAATGGGCCAAGAGCAATAAACAGATATATAGTGGTTGTGTATATATCTCTATATAAGAATATAGGAGAATATTCACAAGGTGTTCACGAACTAACGAGTCTAATTAGGGAGTGTTTGAGATTGGCTCGTTTATTAATCAAATATCTAAAATTTATTTGTGATTGATTCATTTATTAAACAAACGAACATAAGTCGAGCTCTTAGCGAGCCGAGCTTAAGTTGTTCGTCGAAAGCTTGACTGGTTTACGGCTTTAGTTTTGTTGTACATGAAAAGAGTTATTATATGCTACTGTGACATGCGTATAGTGTGGATTTTTTTTCATAAAAAAGAGAAGGAAGTTGGACAACTTGAACTCTATTTGTATAGTTTTCAGGATTGTTATGTGTTTGTATTATATACAACTAAATGTGTCCACTAAGGGGCTGTATGGTAAGCGCTTCTGCTTCGTATTTTTTGCTTCAAACTGAGCTGTAGCGAATCAAAAGTATGTAACGTGTTTGGTAATATTTGCTGCAATTTGAATAGTACCGAAATGTTTTCGGGAAAAAAAAAAAAAACAAAGGTCCAAAACCAGGAGCACCAAATTAGTGTTTACAATTATTTCGACACGGTAGCAAAGCACTTTTCAAAATAATAATAATAATAAATCTAAAATGGCCTTACAATACTTTTTATCAAATATATTTTTTCAAAAAATTTTGAGTTTTGAACACACTTGGAAAGAAAAACATTGATCAAAACAAAAGCAGATAGCAACAATTTGTGATTGAATTTATTAAAATTATTTTTAAACTACAAACCACAATGCATCTATGAAATATTTTGTCCGCAATGCCATGACAACTCCACAATATTTCTTGGCTTGTACTTATCCTTCCAGTGGGTGTCAATGGAACATAGTTGAACCGCTCAAAACCATTCAAAAAAAGTGCAGGTTTCTTACCAAAATCTGGGTTCGTCTTTCTAGACAAGTGTACTTTGGAAATTCAAGATCCAGATTCCCAAGCAATTTGTCGATTGTACTCCCGATTCCAAGCATTCTGGATCGAATCTCCTGGGCTCCATTATATCCATTTATTATTTTTTTAATTATTATTTTAATTATTATTATTATTTTTCTTTATTCTAAAAAAGTGAATGATAGTTTGAGCTGGTGGTGGCAAAACTACTAACACCCTAATCAAATTGATGTCCCATTTAAGTCAAAAAAGAAAGTTCGGAGGGAACCGACTGTATTAAACATTTCTCACTCTTGTTTCAGTTTTTTATTTTCATATAATTGATATTAGGAAAGGTGTATGAAAACTTGTTTGATTGTTGGTTTAAATTTATGCTATTAAAATTCCGTTAAACAAAGTTTTTTTATAAGTTTTTTTTCAGAAACTAAACCAAACGAAGACTAAAATTACCTTTAGACTTTTGCGTAATGGAACCGAATAATTTTTTTTTTTTTGGTAGATAAATTTATTATTTGAGAATGCTATTACTGTTAAGAAATAGCTTCTTGAGAATAAGCTGGTACATTTGTTTGTGTAACAAATTGTGATTGATCATAGGGCCATGGTTCCATCTGATCCTTAGAGGTTACCAAAAAATATAAGATGTGTCTGGTGCCTGGGATACATCACTCAACAGAGTCACAACCTCTCCTCTCAAAAGCATCAGCTTGCCACCTCATATCAAATATAAACAAATATATATATATATATAGATCACAAGTAAACTTGGCTACCCAAAAATACCAATCTTGCTCTGTAGTTTATTTCTTCTTGTGGGTGCCAGGCTATTATTCTCTTTTTCTTTCTGGCTCTTTTCCTCCTTTTCCGCTCTGGAATTTGGATGATTACAATACAAGGTTGGGTACCATATCAGTCACCTACTTTATAAAAAATCAAATGAAAACATAAAATAAAAGAAATGCCCATTGACCCATATATTAGAAGATGATGATATATCAAAATTTGTAGCTTAAATTAAATATATATATATGTTTCTTTTATGTTTGGTTTGAGATAACCATAACTATTTTTGGAAAAGGTAGAGAACAAGGAAGGGAGAGAGGATGAAAGAGAATTAGGATATATATATATATATATATATATATAGATCCCCAAGAAAAAGCTAAGTTGGACCCGTCAAAGCCAATCATTTCTGATGCTTAAGACTCACAATGCTTTGGACAGACGGGAATCCTTGAATCTTGAGCTCCTAAGTTACAAATACACACATATATATGTATATCTATGTAACCGTTTTCTTGTTTTCTAGTTTTCTTACTGTCTTTGAAAAAGCAAAGCAAAACAAAGCAGATAGATTTCACCTAGTTCTAGTAACGGACACAATGCCCAATGAACACTTTATTGTTTATTCCATCTTTTCATATATATATATATATATATGTCGATCCCCTCTGCTCTGCTCAGCTCTGCTATATATATATATACTTATAATCTGAAATTAATAATCCCAATCTTCTCATTCATTCGCTGATCTGATCTGATCTTCCTTCAATTCCCCACATTGCCTTCATTTCACTTTATTGCTCTATATTTTCATTCTCTCTCATAATCATCAAGTTCATCATTCCTTCATGGAGGTACATTTTTTATCTTGCTTCCCCTATACATATATTTTTCTACTGTAATCTTCATCATATATACATATATATAGTTTTTTGTATTCATATCGAGTGGTTGGCTGTATTTCCTATAGAGATTTAAGGAGTCAAAATGGTTAGTGATACTTGAAGAAAATGAAGTAAATGGTCCCATTTCAATTCAAATGGGAATTCATTAATTACCAAGGGCTTACTTTGTCCAACTGCTATTTCCTCTTTTCAAATGAAATTTTTTTGAGAGTAAATAAATAATAATAATAATAACAATAATAATAATAAAGGCCCCCTATGCTTCTTTTAGTGCATGAAAAGATTGCCAGAAGGAAGAACTTATTCCTCCAAGGAAGTGCTACATTCAAGTATAATTAGTGAAACTGTTAATTGAACTGCTTTGATATATGACTTCCACTTTGTTGTCAACAGCAAGAAGCTAAAAGACATTTCCTTTGAATAATCATTTCCAACATAAAAAACCAAATCCTGTTTGGTTGTAGTTCTTAATTTCAAAATCATGTTCATTTATGGTTGAAATTTTGATTTTGCAGACTGTTGAATTGAAGGTAGAGATGGTTGGCATACATGAAAAAAGACTGCGGAAATGCCTCTCTAAATTAAAAGGTAATTTTGTGCACTCTATGTTTGGGAGCACAGAATTGGCACGTTGAATTGAAATTGGAAAATGCGCCAATTCGATGCTCCCAAACGCAACATAAATAAACATTTTCATTTCATTCAATTTGTGTAGTTTGTAACTGAATTTATTATGTACAGGGATAGAGAAAGTAGAAGTGGATGCAAGTAGTCAGAAGGTTGTGGTCACTGGATATGCACATAAGAACAAGATACTGAAAGCAGTGAGGAGAGGTGGTATGAAAGCTGACTTCTGGTCTGCCCAAAATGAGCTCCTCAATGCATATGCCGGTGCTAGTAGTTATGCAAGCTTGAGATTCAACAACTTCAGCTTCTTTTAGGACTTATTCTTTTCTTTCTATTTTCTATATATTTTGGTGGATACATATATAAATATATATATATATATATATATATATACACCAACTAAAGGTTGTGTGCGCGCTTTTTTGTGTTTTAACTGTCTCATGTTCATTGACACAGAGTGAAATGAAATACTCTTTAAGTTTTGCAGCCTTACTTGGCAACATTTTTCTATACTCAACACAGTATGAAAATTTACCATTCTTGTGAGCTATGTCTGGATCAGTGGTGTACGCGTCATGTTTCAAATTAATTTCAAATAATTAACTTTGTATTTGATGAAGATATTTAAGTATTTACAACTCTTAATTTGATATTTTAAACTTGATGTCATTACACAACTTCATTTAACATGGTATTTATTTATCTATTAAATTTAAATTCATTAATGTTAAGTTAAATGCATATTAACCATTCTTGTATAATTAGTAGAGTGGTACTGAGATCAAATGCATTAGAGATGTGAAAAAATATAGATTCGGGTAAGAAAAGGCGTTTACGTAAAAAGGTTTCTCTCTAAAACCTACCATCTTTGTTAGAAATAAGAGACCTACATACACACAACTTAATAATTTGAAAGAGGAATACTTTGAAATATTGTTATTCCACTTACAAACTGATCCATCTCATTCACATATCTAAAGCAACTAGAGTACACGAGTTTATATATGTTTCAAGAACACATAACTACCAACTACATATAAATGTCCATAAGTCCCATTATTCTTACTAACATAACCTTCATTAGGCATAATGCATGTGAGTTGCGCACGGCAGAATAGTTGTGAAATTATCTAGTCTGTGAACTTGCATAGTTCTATTCAGGGTTGGCCCTAGATTCCCAAAATTTTAATAAGCCCTAGGCAAACATTCAAATGCAAGGCCCTATGTTGGAGGTCTTTATACATAAGATTGGAGGCCCTTTATACATAAGGTTGGAGGCCCATTTAAGGCCTTTCCAAATTGGAGGCCCTAGGCGATCGGCCACTACAAGAATTTAGGGTATTAGGGACAAAAAATATTGCCCCAAAAGGTGCCTAATCCGTCCCTAATACCTTTTAGGGACGACAGATGCAACCGTCCCAATATGCAGCGTCCAAAAAGCTAATTAGGGATGGACCAATTGGGACTGAACAACTTTCCGTCCCAAATAGTCATTTGGGACGAACACCAAAGTTCCGTCCCAAATACTCATTTGGGACACAACTTTTTACTGTCCCAAATACTCATTTGGGATGGAAATTAATCTTTTTTTTTTTTAATATTATTTTTTTTTATTGGTAATATGTGTGCTTGCTATTTCTGCTATTTTCATTTATCTGCTCCGTCCATTAAAAATAATAAGAAACTAGATATCATGTAAACACAAATAAAAAAGCTAAATTTCATGTCTACACAAATAAAGAAGCTAAATTTTATTGGCCATTAATTAAAAAACAATGTACAAATCACACTTGCATCAATTCTGCTCAAATCATTACCAAATAACATAGTATCTAGAGATCAATGTTTGAAATACATTTATCCAACAATAGAAGAGTAAGCATTGATCTGTCGGTGAATGAGAGTGAAATGGTGAGTTCAGAGCAAACTGGCCAAACATCAGTGGCTACGAATTATTGAACAGGCTGCCAAAGGGTCCATAAAGCTACTATTGCTGCAAAACGGGGTCGATATGCACCGAACTATGTGGACATGAATTGAGAGGACATCCTTTGATACTCAAACATACCATTCACAGTTGCCTTCAATCCAATAATGAACTCCCTCGCATCCAAATTATCAAATGCCTTTGATGATGATTGCCTCATCATATTGTCCTGCATTATCAAACAAGTGAATGAACGACCATCAAATAGAATAACTGAATGCACAACCATCAAACAGAATAAATGATTGCAAAGCTAAAATCTAGACAACAAGTAATACCAACAGAGTATGAACATTTAAGCTAAACAGGGAATTACAATGACTTATCGTAGAAAATCTGGCTTAGCAGCTAAAGTAAAACAACTAAGCTATATATTATACGTCACTACTAACATTTCTTTATTTCACAAACATTGCACAAGCTTAACATCCATTTACACCATTATTGGATCCCAACACACACTAGAGAGTACAAACTATGCACCTAAAACTTTAAAGCAGAAAATAAACAATCCCAATTGACAGTGCCTCCTAAGCTTACATTGACAGCTTTTTAGAAATCATCATTTTCAAGGCAATAATTAGTATCAAGTTTGACAATCAGTAATGTAAATAGTAATATTTAAATAATCATATATCAGTAAAATACCTGTGACGACAGAAGTAACACATATGCTAGAATGCCAAAGTCGGTGAAATTTAGAATAACAATGTAATGTAGTATTTGATAGTGGTACTTTAGAATTCTTAAGGCAATTCAAGGGGAATTAATTTATTCATATGCTTTATAGATATTTCCTGTATATTGCTGTTGACACTCATTTTGGTAATTGGGTTTGGGCTCTAAATGGGCTTGGTGAATAGTCACATAGTAATATGGGTCAAGAATGTAAGGCTTGATGAATGCTGATGTTTAGAAGATTGGGCCGTACAAACATTGGGTTGAAGAATATTACAATTGGGCTAGATATATAGTGGCATGGCTTGGTGGGTGAGAAGAGGTCCGATTGGGTATATGGAGCATATGGGCCAAATTGCATGGTTCGGCTTTGACTGAAGGAAGTGTTGACAACTCTACATGGAATTCGAATGGCATGTAAAGACTTACTTTGAATTAGATGATAGATAGAGTTTGTAAGTTTAGTTTTATCTTTTATTTTGGGTGCAGTTAAGTTTTAAGGTTATCTATAGTTTAATTTAATTTGAATTGTTGCATAGTGGTGATTAGAATTTTACTACAAGTAGGATGTTTGTATGTGGGGTTTAGTTGTTATGATTTATTCTATAAATAATCATAGAGGCATGTTGTACTAGAGGTCTAGCACCCTTCGAATCATTTATTATTATTGTTTGCTTTCTCAAGCCTTTCCTAGAATAGCTTCCTTGCTATTTCTTTTCTATCTCTATCTCTCAATATCTCAATCTTTCTCTCTCTCTATCTTTCTCTCATTATATTTCTTTCTATATCTATTTCTTCCCCTTTCTATTCTCTAAACTATTACTATAAATTATTCACCGCAAAGTCCTTTTAACTAAGGTAAGTAGAACTCACTAAGGAGTTATTTGTTCTCTTCCTCCTATAATCGCCTGAAGTCAACCATCGTTAATAGACTACAAATTGACCATCCATAATTAAACCATATAATTGGTTCTGGCACACCTGTTTTCCATCAATTTAGAATCGGATCTTAGGAGCCGATTTTAGCATCAACATTCTTGGCACGCTCGGTGGGACCCCACTAGGTGAATAATTTAATTTATAACAACGATGCCTCCCAAGAGGAACACAAAGAATACGAATTCAAATGAAGAAGAAGAGGAGGAAGTCCAACCAACTGGTCAAACCGGATCTCACACAGCAGGTGCTTCCTTCCCATCGGATGTTGCATTCATGCAAATGCTTGAATCCATTCGGTAAGGAATGGAAAACCAGGAGGCCCAGTTGGGAGCTCGCATTGATGGGATTGGTCAGAAGGTTAATGCTCACATGGATGGGGTAGATAAAAAAATGGATGCAGTGTCAAATCAACTATCGGTGGTTTAAAGCCGATCTGATTAGGCCGAAGTTTCAAATGTGCATGAGTCATTGTTTCGGCATATTTCTTCATCAAAGGTGATTATCCCTGAAGAACCAAGGATGACAATGACGGGAGTTATGGTGCCAAATCCAACTCTCGGCATGCCGATTAGCATGACGCTAACTCAAACACTGGGTATCACAATCGGCAGTGTGCCGAACCAAACTCCTGGCATGCAGATTGGTAATCCACTAATATTATCAGATCCGCCAGCAATAACGACTGTACCAGTGTATCAGCCACCAGTGAATAATCAGCATGATTAAAATGTGTAGCGTCTATATGCACAACCGATTCCTCCTATAAGAGATCAGCAAAAAGGTGGCAATCAAAATCAAGGTAGGTTTAATCTAATAATACCATCAGTGGCTACCGGGGGGGGGGGGGGGGGGGGGAGGGGGGGGCAAGTAAATGCCGATCCACAAAGAGAGTGGGTTAATGCATTCATTTCGCGGCACCCAAATGATCCTCCAGGAAGAAATGCAGGGATCGATAGGGCTCAGATTCTAGCTTTAATACAGGCTGAAGTGGCACAGGGTCGCAGACGTGCTCGGCCGATATATAGAAAGCCTTATCCTGATCATGTTGATGCCCATGAATTACTTAGAAATTATCGGTATCCCGATTTTTCTATGTACTGTGGGGAAGATAATTTTTTTGTGGTGCAACACATTGCGAGGTTCACAGCACAGTGTAGGGAAGTAGGTCCTAATCCTTGGTTGAGGATGAGGTTATTCTCTAGCTCTCTTGCTGGGGTGGCATTTGAATAATATAGTAATTTACCAGCAAACTCTATCCAGACATGAGATGAAATGGAAGAAGCCTTTTATACTCAATTCTACCGAACAGAGACAGAAGCTACGCTGGTAGACATATCTCGACTATCTTAGTTGCTGAGCGAATTGGTTGAAACTTTTGTTGCCAGGTTCAGAAAAGCTAAACTCAAATGCCGAGTAAGTTTGCCAGAACCATAATATATCAAGTTGGCATTAAATGGTTTAGACATTGAACATCGCAAGAGGTTTGATGGGGTTGAGTTTCAAGATCTCTTTAATTTAGCAGGCAGGGTTTCTCGGTATGAGGAGTTACTTGAAGAAGAAAAAGAGAGGAAGAATTCTTCTAATACAAGGACCCTAATTATAAGGTATTCTCAGTAGAAGTTGAAGATGAATTCGAAGTTGATGTTGCAGAGGTCAATATCAAGAAACCATACATCTGTGAGGCATTGGTTAAGCTTAAACTATCCACAGGGGGCAGTGCAACATCAACATCGGCAGCGAGAAAAGGTCCTGCCGATACAAGGAAAAGCTATTCTTTTGATTAATCAAAAATAGATCAAATCTTTGATCACTTGATGGCCGATAAAATGATATCTTTGCCAAAAGGGCATAAGATTCCATCGGCAAGTGACTTAAAAGGAAATGAGTATTTTAAGTATTATAACTCTTGGACCCATACTACTAATGATTGTATTGTTCTACGAGG